TTTTGCTTAAGTTCGTACTTTGTATAAATTATATTTCAATATTAATAATTATGTAACTGATACTTTTAATCCTGTTATTAAGTGTTGTGACGTGTGTATTGAATTGCATTGTTGTTTTTTTATGATCTTTTTGGTGCATTTAAATATTAATGATAATCATTAACTGTATTATAATGCATTTTGATACATTATTATAAAAACAAAAGGAAACCAATATTATTATGTGATTTTAAAAACTAATGAAAGTGGCCTTCCATATAAAGTAAACTACACTCTCAATTATTATTATCTTAGATAATACGGTATTAAAATTATTGTGTGTATAAATTAGCATTCAGCAAACTGAGTTACGGTACAGCAAATTGGAATTCGGCAAACTGGATTTCACAGCTGTGAGTCGGCAATTGGGCATTAGGCAAACTGGCATTTGGCAATTTCGGAAATCTGGCTAGGGTATGTAGTGCATACCTCACTTCTTTTGACAATTTTTATTATTGAAGTTACTGCTGTTGTTGTTGATGCTGCTGCTGCTGATGATGATGATGATGATGATGCTGTTGCTGTATTTGAGTTGTTGCTTTTGCAAAATCCAACAGATATATAAATAACATAGAATAAACGTTATTCCAAGTGTAATGTAGAAAGGCGCTTGAACGTTCAACCAAAGGTAAAAACGTCGAATCGCGACCTCCCTCTCATTATTCGGATGAAATTCATTCTGTGTCGCTTTTGTGGTTGATGCAACAGCTACTGTTACGGATCTAGACCAAATTGCCGAAACCCATTTTGCCGAATCCTGGATCAAATTAACTCAAAAACTGTAAAATACAGTTTGCCAAAAGTAAATTTAAAAGTAACATAAAAATTAATAACAGCCCATAGTTCGGTAAACTAGTTTTCGGCAAAGTGAACTCGGAAAACTGGAATTCGAAAAAAATTATAATACCACTGTTACTGATAATACTGCTACTTATAGAGCTACTGTGCTCTGTTCTGTTCTATTACCTCACTTGGTTACTGCTGCTCTTACTACGAGTGCGAGCCGTTGTTGTAGTTAATGATGATAATGTTGCTGTTGTTTGTGGTTAATTTGGTAGTTACCAGAAGAGCATTTTCGATGCATTTCTATGATGCAATGTGGCAGTTTTTCTACGAGCGCGAACCAAGCTTTAGTGCTAGCAGTAGCAGTAGCAGCGGCAGGTGGCAGCGGCAGCAGTAGCAGCAACAGCAGTAGCAGTAGCAGTAGTAGTAGTAGCAGTAGTAGTAGTAGCAGTAGTAGCGGTAGCGGTAGTAGTAGCAGTAGTAGCAGCAGCAGCAGTAGTAGTAGCAGCAGTAGTAGTAGTAGCAATAGTAGTAGTAGTAGTAGTAGTAGTAGTAGTAGTAGTAGTAGTAGTAGTAGTAGTAGTAGTAGTAGTAGTAGTAGTAGTAGTAGTAGTAGTAGTAGTAGCAGTAGTAGCAGTAGCAGTAGTAGTGGTAGTAGTTACAATTATTGATAATAGTCAATTTCCTGTGTATCAATATATTTTCATACATTCCGATAATCGATACATGTATTTGACCAAGTATAAATCAAAATAAGACAGATGCTAGTGATGATGAAGACCGACGACAGTGATCCTAAAATGATGTCCAATGCCCCGGCTACTGTCCGCCAGCTCTCACAGTCCTGTGAAAAAATGTTTTAAATAAATATATACAATGTGTTTTTATTCCGGTACCCATAGTGTAAAAACACCAGGATTCCATTATGTAGGCCTATTACTAATTACTCTATATAATATTAATATTTTATTAACTAGAGGGTTCGCTCGGTTCCTCTAGTATGTGAACGTCACGAATTACATGGACATCACTAAAAGAAGATACGTTCAGTTATTTTTAGTTCCGGAATATCAGAAATGAAGTGTTTAGATGACCAACAAACCATGTTTTATGATTTACAAAACATGCTTAATGGACTAGTTTCATATAATTTTTTTATAACCACACTAAAATGATGTGGAACAGCACAACGTGTTAATTGGTATGGGGAACAATCTTATTTCTCTTCATCATTTTCCTTGGAAAGACGTTTATGTTTGCATCTCAGCGCTTAAAAGCAGTTAGGAAGCAGAACTCAAATGACACCACTGCACATTGAAAAGTTTTTGAAACTTGTGACTTCACACCGCATGAATAGAATACGTCACTGGCCGATGCCTATCTATTATTTAGTACTACTATCGTCTGTAGTGCCTTAAGTTGTGACACCGCAAAACAACTAAGTCACTGCTGCGAATGCGGAAGTACACAATGCACAAGAGACTGCTACAGGTTCAGGGAAAACCAAAGGTAAGTCATTATTTTTCCCTCAATTAATCTGGTATATGGATTAATATTCACTTTGCATGATTGAAAATTTGATGATCTGTTTTGTTAGAGATTTACAGACTGGTAGGTTTCGAATCCCTAGCGTTTATTGAGTACCTCTGTTTTGCATTGTGTCCGTAGGCCTTGAAATAAGCATAATTATAATAGGCCTATAGATAATGATAATCATAATCATTATTATTATAATTTTTAATTATCACCAATTTTCTTACAATATTTTTATGACACAAATTGGCGCACTGTCGTAATTAATGGTTTATCTTATTCATCCAAAATTACTCAAGAACGGAGAAGTACACAACAAATTACATCAAAGTAATGTGATAACCCAGAAAGATAATAAAAGAGAAAATCTAAACAAATATTTTAAGTATTGGAATTAACTCTCAAAACGTTTTAAAATAAGATCCTCGGGCGCATATCCAGTAGGGGAAACGTTACCGTACCTCCCTCCCCGGCTTAACCACTAAATTTTAAAAGTTCAATGCATATCAATATTACGTATTGAAATACTCACATCTATTCTGAAAATGTTGTACCCACCCCCTCCCCCCACGTTTGAAAATTCTGGATCTGCCCCTGATTCTTTCCTTTGTGAATACTGAATGCATTCCTTAAAAACAATTTCTTGTCTCTGCCAATCTTTAATTCTGTAGTATTTAGTTTCATTGCAAATAACAAATATTATTCTACTCTACTAAGTTATTCTAAGACACTTACCGTTGGAATATTATTATCATTACCAGGTTTCTTGGAATCATCTAAATGATTGCCTTCATTCGTAGATAAAACCATGCCATCTGGGGAAGCGACAGTCGCCATGGTATCATTCTCCCCACTGGGACTTGAATCGACTGTAGTGTTATGTTTTGAAAAGCATACGCAGTGGTTACAGAACGAGGCCAGACGCCTGATCCAAAGAGGGGGAGAAACACGCCGGTTTGATTTGTTCACAAGACAAACTGACACCACAGAACCTGATACAATGAAAACTTGTACCACAAAAATGCTAGTGACATATTGACCTAGTAGAGGGCGCTCTGACACCTTCGGTAGAGTTTCTTCAACGAACAGCTGGAATATCATAACTCCTAGAACAAGAGAAACTATGTACGACATTCTTTCTCCAGAATCGCATGGAATAAAGAACACAAATAGCGACATTAACATAATAATCGTTGCTGGGAAAGTAATAGTTAAAGTGTAATAGTTTGGTTTACGACATATGTCTATTTCGTACAAAATCGACGAAATCCCCACTTCACCTCCATCCGGATAAATACTCCCGTTTTCACTCTCTGCAAAAACGCGACCGGCGACAATATTCCACTGACCCTCTTCGCTCACAGCATCGAGTATCAAGCCATTATTTATTCCTCGATCCAGTTTCAGAATTGTAGACGGCACTCCAGTGGGTGCGATCCGAATCGAACAGGTTTGTGAATCCAATGGAAATCTACCTATTGATATGGCACAAAAGGTGATATGCTGGATGGGAAATGACACGGACACTTCTCCATTTGAAGAGATCAATGCGTCTATAACCTCCGTGTCGAATTTACCAATGATTGGAAATGTACCACTTGCACTGAAACAAATTCCAGTAGATTTTATAACAATACATTTCTTGTTTTTGTTGAGAACACCATTATAACAAGGAAATATTTTGTAATAATAATAATAATAATAATAATAATAATAATAATAATAATAATAATAATGATGATGATGATGATGATGATGATGATGATGATGACGATGATGATGATGATGATGATGATGAAGATGTTGAGGATGATGATGAGATGAGACTATGATGGTGATAATGTTGATGGTGATTTAATATTGGTGATGATGATGAAAATGATGATGATGGAGATGGTGACATGATGGTGATGACGGTGATGGTAATGATTATAATATAATAATATAACAATGTTTTTTTTTTAAATTAACTTATTCGTTTGTAACTTATGATATTTGGGATTGGCCGTTCATCTTATTGGCCTCTTCCCGTCACCGTCAACTTTTTTTTTCATTGTTTATTTGTCAGTGTAAAGTGTAAATAATTAGCTACTACCACTACAATTCTACTACAACAACTACTAAAATTATTTTGCCAATATAAATCACACATTGACGAATTCGACCAAAATGCAAACACTCACTCATTGTTGTAGATGAGATGTGGCCACCAGATCTGGGTAAGTTTTGCAACAAACAATTCGGTTTCATTAAATTCAAGCGGGTCCCAACTAAGTCTAGGATCTGTCCAAATCTGTTGAAAATTTCATTCACAATATCAACAAAATGTCAATTGAAAACTGTCTTTGCTGTGCATTAAAAATGTTTTGCTTGCTTATTTATTCGTATGACTAAACGAAATATTAAGTACTTTGGGGGAGATAACGTAACCATGGTACTTGACCGATAAACGTAAACACTTTTTGTGTGGATACGTTATATTTTAACTGTTTCGGAAGATGAAAGTGAGTTATTCATACGGTAACTGACCAAAAATTAAAGGATGTCAAAATAAAAGAAATAGAGCACATGGAAAATTTGGCTGACAGCTAACAATGTAAATATGATAAATACAATTTAAATTTGTGGTAAACAAAATCACTATGTTTGCGACATAAATGAACATTCGCAAGACAGATCTTTTCATGCTTTCGAAAAATGGTTTTTGTTCATTTTGCAAACCCTTGCAAATTTCATCTAGACCCGCCTGAAATGTGATGGCGCCCTCATTTAGTTAATTTTATATAACATGAGATAATCAGCGAAGTCAGATGGAATTTTGCAAGACTACTATATTTTAGCTAATCAATCAATCAATCGATCAACTTTATTGTATGTTAAAATATAAAGAGAAAACCAAGTTTCAAAATTAACCTTTTACACGTTCTACCTATGAAAATATAGTCTTAAATGTACTATACAAACACCAAACACTTGTAGGAGAATGAATGCGTAAATTAAAAGCAAAAGGCCAGATAATATTTAAACAAATAAATAGCAGAAATGGGGGTTGGGGAAACCTGCGGTAAATAGGCTTTTGTATTTTGTTACTGATGATTATTATATTTTTGACATTTCAAACAAAAGCTGCATTACACATTGTTACACCGACCAACCAGCGTCAGCGAAAGCTGTTGGTTATAGCGTGTAGCTATGGGAATGCAGTGGTTCTACATTGCGAGAGTGTAGCGGTTTTTATGGAAAACAGACTTAACTTGGCATTAGCTAACAATAATACGTTATAAGCACGTTATAAGAACGTTACAGTTTGGTGATAAAAACGTTATTGTGTAGAACCATAATTATGTACGTACTTATAACCTAATTTCACGTCATCACACCGTTTGAAGGTTCTTACAACGTTGTGTGAACGTTAAGCTGTGACATACTACAACGTTCGCGAACGTTATAAGAACGTTTTGTGTGACTCATGTACATAGACCAGGGATTGTCAAAGCGACTTTAATGACTGTACTAATCAGAGGTGGCAATCCCTTTCACAAGAGAAACGGACAAAGTGCTCTACATAATTTAGGTATCATTATGAGGTTTACGAAGTGGGGTCAGTTTTAGTCGCAAGAAAAAAAATTCAATTGACTTAATTGAAAAATAACCAGAGTCCTGTACAGACTATCTAATTTAATATAACAAAAAAAATGTGACATGTTTAACCTTTTGAGACCCGACATTAAAATATTCAACAAATCAATGTTTTAAAGGCTGAAATAGGACATTTAAAATCATAATTAGAAGGTATGCAAAGTTTTGGTTTTTTTTTTTTTCAGGATAGGGGGTTTCGAGATACAGTAAGGCAAACAACAACCTTCTGTCTAACGTGAAACCCAGGGGGAGTATCACACTCTCATCCGCTTCACGCTACAGAAACTGGGCTAGTGACTCTGCAAGGATTTACTCTAACGACTATAATATGGGCATAGAATAGGTGTTTGTCTAAAAAAAGAGCCACAGCTCACACGTTCGCGCGTTTCTACACGCTTAAATACGTACAAGTTATTATATTGGATATTTAGGAAGAGCTAATAAGATAATTTTTTTTTAATAATTAGAATTTTTATTCACCTATTATTTATCAGAGAACAAAAAAAATATTTAAAATGTTCATTTGTACAAAATTAAAATGTCCTAAAATTGAAAAAGAAATAAAATGTCTTAAAATTTGAAAACAATGAATACCAAGACTCGGTTTTCAAACCCACGACCTTCGGTTAGAACACATTCTTAACAAACAGCACCATCCATGCGACGTGCCTTATTAGTGGTAAGGGCAGTAATTTACAGTCTTGCAGTCTTTGCTGTATGGGGTGCCATACGCAGCAAAAGTCCATGTTAAAATAAAAATGTAATTGCAAAATTCAATGTCTGATTTATCAAAACGTAGGCGTAAATTTTTCAAAATGTAGATCTAGTTTCCCAAAGTGAAGTTCTAATTTTTGAAAACGTAGTTCAAATTTTCCAAAATGTAGTTCTAATTTCTTTAAAATGTAATTCAAATTCAAAACGTAGGTCTAACTTGATCAAACGCCCTCTCCAAATTCTATTCCAAAACGTAAATCAAAAACCAGCCTGGTTTGAAATGCATTTTAAAACAAAACTAGAAATAGACTTTTGCTGCGCATGGCACTAGACTTGCGAAATGTAAATCAAAACTAGTCAGCCAAGCGTGACGTGGGCCTGTTCCATTAATGATGGGGGAATCATTTTTCGCTGCAGTCCAATGCCGTGAACAACGCTTCCATTGCGTCTGCTAATTTTTAATGGTCAGGGTACCGCGAAAACAAGCCCTATGCTAGGCATTATAGGCTAGGCTTATGTGGGCTGGGATTTGCAACAAGGTCTTGGACTAGGCCTCTAT